AATACAAAATGACTGAAAAACGGCAAACTTCGCATGGCTATATTATCCGCATTTTACAACATTTCGCAACGAAACTTTGGAATATTACTAATTTTGTGGTGCTCTTTCAAGCTGTGATGAAATTTTTGTCTAGATCAAAATTTAGTCTATAATGCAAATGGTCCATTAGGGGAAACAAAATTTGTTCGAAATAGACAATTCCCATTATATGAACTAATTTTAAAACTAGGCAAGGAGATGCAAACAGATTACCACAGCTAGAAAAAGCATACTAAAATGAGTAAAATTGCAACGTTTGGTTGTGAAATGTTGTAAAATATAGCCTTGCTGTTGTAAAATAGAGCCTAATTGCTACCGTGGCTAAGGCATATTTTTCAAGCTTGCCCGGTGTGGATATACACTCAGAGTAACATCACAAGCATCATAGCCTTGCAAAGTTTGCAAATTTTGTATACTTTTGTATTGCGTGCGGAAATTGCTACCATTTTCGGCCCAAATGTTTCAAAACTTAGAATTTCCTTTGCAAAATTCCTATGCTGTGATCACTGAAATTTTGATACTGTATAACCCAACTTTAAATCTCAATATCTTTTGAAGATGATTGTAAATAATCTAGTAGAAATCACTATGCATTCTTTTGAAAATACGCACTTACTTTCAAGGATCTATAACCAGAATTCATTCATTGCAGTGCAAATATTTCTGGAACGTAATAGCAAGAACAGCGATCCAAGATCGACCACGAGTGATAAAAAGCCGTTTCGGGACAGATAGTTTTATAAGGCTAAAAACGTTTTGCTTGCGTGGTTTTCCCTACCGGAAATATCACTCGGCGTGAAATACGAGGGTCAAGATGGGGGGTCTGAAAATCAGTAGACAGTAAATATTTTGATATTTTAACGGTAAAATTTTGGTAAATCTTTGAAAAGTGTTCTAAAACGATACAGTACTTTTTCCTCACGTTTCACGGTAAATTTTTAGTGTTTTCACCACTGACGGTAACTGAAATTGAGTGAATCACGACTCACGATATACCCCATCACCACCTTCAAATATAAACCCAATCTTACGGAATTACTATAAATACGAAAGAATAATATCACAGTAGGTTTGTAAATATTTATATTTTCTCCACTTAACCCTCACAAGGGGTTAGGGAGGGTCAAGAACAGCGTCACTTTTTTTGTGAATGGCCCCTAACAACTCATGCCAGTAAAGGATTTGATATGACAAAATAGGGTTTAAGTTCTTTGTATGTTTGCATGGCGATAAAACATATAACAGTTTTGTTTGTGGAAACACCACGTAAATTTATTACTGCACTATTTATTACTGTATTATTTATTAATTTATTTTGCAGTAATAAATTTACGTGGTGTTTCCACAAACAAAACTATTATAAAATAGGATTTGTTGTCAACATTGTAAAAGGTACAGATTTGTACATTTGATATAAAGATATCTAATGACAAAAAAAAACAAAAAGATGTTTACAACAAAATTGCAAGTTTGAGTCAAAATCATTTTGCTTGTCTAACGCCCGTATTCTAAAAGCTCACTCACACTCAATGAATGAAGGTTCAATATGAGCTTTCCTTGAGTGTCAATGCTGTTTTTGAATTGGTGGAGGGCGAGTACTCACATAGTAAGGTACGACACGAACCATCCAGCTATTCAAAAACAGCATTGACACTCAAGAGAAGCTCAGACTGAAGCTCCACTCATTGAGTGCGAGTGAGCTTTTAGAATATAGGTAGGCGTTAGTTCGCAGAACGGCAGAACTATCTAGTATCTCATCTAGGACTCATCTGGGAGGCTGGGACTCTCATTTGCGCATACACACAGAAATAAAAAATAGGTACGCCAGGCGTACATGTTACATTAAATTACATTGACGGAATTATATTTTTACATGCAGCAATTGTGTGAAATTGCGCTATTTGAAATTATCAGGGTTCGTAGTCTCCAAGAGCAAAACAATTCAAAGACTCTGAAAGATTTTTTTTCTGCCTATTTTCAAAGACTTTTCAAAGACCTTTTAGAGCAATCAGCTGTCGAAAAATTGTGAGTGTAAGCGCCATTGTTACCCGGTAATTAGTCCCGTCAAATCACATCCTAAAATGCGCCTTTTCGTCGATATTGCGAAAACCTTGCTCTTCAATCAACCTATTTTATTAGCTAGGAAATCGTATAATTAAACACTTACTAAAGAAACTAAAGACTTTTAAAGACTTTCTTCGCGTTTTCACACAATTCAAAGACTTTTCAAAGACCTTAAAGACCTGCATTCAAATTTAAAGACTTTCAAGGATTTCAAAGACCGCTATGAACCCCGATTATAGACCCTGCTTCATATAAAGATATTCACATTTATACTCATCCTCTTAATATAGAAGTCACTGATTACCATTTATATCCCAAATGCAATAATAGTCATGCAAATTTTTTTATCTGGAGCTAACTATCTGCTATTCACGCAGTTCATTACTTTTAAGAAGAACTTACAATTTAAACAAAACAATTACTTAAGGCACGTACCACTTTATGCTCTAAAAATATGTTTCTAAAATGTGGGGATTCGCTTGCGATTCTGGTATAAATTTACTAAATTTGTATAAATATGATCTATGAATGTGTGATTGTCTGGACATGGAGTCATGAGCTAATAATAAAATAAAACAACAGGGCTATGTTTAGACTATACTTTGTATTTATCAGTTAGCCAGGTTTCAGAGACCTCCAGTAACCAGAGTTGTTAACAACTCCTATGTTGCAAGTCCAAGTAAAGTCACAAGTCATTTCCTGCAAGTCCAAGTCAAGTCACAAGTCATTTTGTCTGAGTTCAAGTCAAGTCACAAGTCATTTTGTCTAAATCCAAGTCAAGTCACAAGTCATTCCGAGTGGCAAGTCAATTCAAGTCAAGTCACAAGTCATTTTATCGCCACATGTGGCCATGTTTTCCCACGCAAAACGGAAAAATATGTAAATATGGCGTCGTTATTTTATGTCAAAAATTTTACCACGAAATCGCGAAAAAAACCGCTTTGTCAGAAAATATGCCGGTGTCACAGGAGATTCGCCCCCCCAGGAGATTCGCCCCCCCTCCTAGGACTATCGCCCCCCTTTAGGAATTTCGCCCCCCCCATATAATTTTTGAATTTTTGATCTAAAAACCAAACGATTGCAAGTTGAAAAAATTTATTGTGTGATTTATTTATTTATTACAAGGAGACAAAATCACATACACATTTTAGGCTTCTTAGCAGCTGGTGGTGTGCGCAGTCTGCATAACCGAGTAATTTGAGGTACTTAGACTAGTGTCATATTCTACACATCTAAAGTGGAACCATCACAGAGATCGCATAAAATCATGTTGTTGTATTCTTCTGGTAGTTTACATTCACATAACATATTATAAAAACAATCGCTTGCAAATTTTATCAATACGAGTGTTAACAATAGCCGCCACAGTAATCACTTGCTAACAATAAACTGTAGGATTAGTAAAAAATCCATGGAATTTGTTGGGAAGCGTATTGACTATTGTCCGTTGAATCGTCAACTTTCTGTGTCAGTGATGTAATCTTGATTCTTCACTTCCGCAAAGAAAATTGCATTGTATATGTGGTGTGGTTTATTCAAATCATTTCATGATACTTTGATTTTATTAGTGCATGCCTTAAACATTTGAGAATGTAACTCTGCAAAACTAAAAGCGTTCTTGTCTTTTTTGCTTTTTTGAAACGTATATTATTGGATTATTGCCTATTGGCAAGTTCTACCCTTCGCTTCTGAGATTTACAAACTATATTGAAATAATGCAAGTAAAAAATAGTGACAAACCATACATTTTCCGATAACGACAAAACGTGGATGCAAAACAATACCAATAATTACAATAACCACCACGGTGATTAATTTTTAACAATGAGTTTAAGGATTAACATTGAAAAAAATGCAAAATATGCATGGTGTGCTGTGAAGCGTCATAAGTCCTATTGAGTATTCATCTACTGTAACTGTGTAAAGCCCTTTCGATACATGTAATTGTAAATTTGTATTCTTACATGCAGGGCTTGAAATAACGTTCCCAAAGTTCCCGATCATGGTGATCGGCAGTCGCGACTTTCCCTGTTTTTTTCAGGTTGCAAACCGAAACCCTGCTTTTCCGCCGATCATAAGCAATTCCTTGCCGATTATTGATCGGTGATCGGTTGTTATTTCAAGCTCTGTCTTAACAATTTTGAATTGATACTGATTTCAAATGATTAAAGCCATGTAATAATTATCCCATGCAACTGTTAGGAAGGGCGAAATTTTGAACGGAGGACGAAAATCGTAAAGAAAAGGTGAAGTTTCTAAAGGGGGGCGAATTTCCTAAAGGGGGGCGAAATTCCTAGGATTTTCGCCCCCCTGGGGGGGCGATATTCCTAGGAATTTCGCCCCCCGGGGGGCGAAAATGTAGGGGGGGCGAAAATCCTGGGACACCGGCACAAATTCTGTCGATGCCATTGATATGTACTAAGGTCGTTGCCCAAATTGCACAACACGACGATCGATCGATCAACACAAAGATTTTGGAAAACTTGATTTTCGCTAGATATTTACGTTTGACTTGCGTTCGTAACAAGTCATTTCTTGCAAGTCCAAGTCAAGTCACAAGTCATTTTGTCCAAGTCAAGTCACAAGTCATCAGTCTCTTTAACAAGTCAAGTCACAAGTCACAAAAATTGCGACCCGAGTCCGACTCGAGTCCAAGTCACACGACTCGAGTCTACAACTCTGACCTCCACTACAGTCAAATCCGGTGTTCCGTTGCCAGCAACATTGCAATATTGTCACGCAATATTGATCGGCTGATTGCTCCAACAAATTGCAAACGACGCGAACAAATTGCAATTTTTACGTGTGTCAACAATTTGTCGAGAGGTCGCGCTCAAATGTCAATGCCAAGCATTTGATTGGCTTGTTTTGTACTAGTATGGCATCAGGCTTTATTTACAAACTTGCTTCCGAATCATATTATGAACGTTTGAATTTTGCAGTTAACGGTTTAATACTGTTACTGTATGTAAAAATTGCAATTTGTTCGCGTCGGTTGCAATTTGCTAGAGCAATCAGCCGATCAATATTGCACGACAATACTGCCCGCAACGGAACAACGGATGTTACTGTAAATAACAGTCAAGATATATACGCAAATATAATTTGCGTGTTTTTTTTCTTCGAAATTTGTGACTGTTTCGTGAAGATTCAACCATAAAACAATGGACAATTTGCATGTTAGACTAAATTTTAATCTAAGTAAAGAGAAGGGAATCAAACATCACAGCTAAAAAGAACATAATGAAATTAGTAAACTTGCAAAATTTAGTTGCGAAATGTTGTAAAGCTTGGAAATACATAGCCTTGCAAAGTTTGCAAATTTGGTATATGTTTGTATTACGTGCGGAAATTGTTACAATTTCCGCACGTAATACAAACTTATACAAAATATGCAAACTTCGCAAGGCTATATTTTCCAAGCTTTACAATATTTCGTAACCAAATTTGGCAATTTTACTAATTTTAATAAGTTCTTTACGAGAATTTACTTTTTTGCCTAGATCAAAAGTCAGTCTAACATGCAAGCTGTCTATTGCCAGAAACGGAAGCCCTGATTAATATAGAGACTCGTGCCTTGTGCGTAAACATGCCAATCCAGAGTTGTAGACTCGAGTCGTGTGACTTGGACTCGAGTCGCAATTTTTGTGACTTGACTTGTTAAAGAGACTGATGACTTGACTTGGACAAAATGACTTGTGACTTGACTTGCAAGAAATGACTTGTTACCAACGCAAGTCAAACGTAAATATCTAGTGAAAATCAAGTTTTCCAAAATCTTTGTGTTGATCGATCGATCGATCGTCGTGTTGTACAATTTGGGCAACGACCTTAGTACATATCAATGGCATCGACAGAATTTGTGCCGGCGTATTTTCTGACAAAGCGGGTTTTTTTCGCGATTTCGTGCTAAAATTTCTGACATGAAAATTAGCCTGCGTGCAGGCCCAAGGGAACTGATAGTGGGCCTGCAACCATCGCCCGGTATTTTGTAAAACGCCCCTTTTAATAACACGCCCCATTCGCGCGTCAATTGTCAAAAAAGAACCAATGACAGCACCCAAATATTAACAAACAAACTCGCATTAAAATTTGCGGGGTTTTCTCAGCTTATTCAGAACACTAATAAACAATGTGAAAATGGCTGCGTTTTAACTCCAAAAAAGAAAGCAACGCAGACAGTAATTGCCAAATTTGCAAGTGCTCATTTTCAACTAAAATCGGAACAGGCAAATTAGGACGAATTTCAACAGAAAACCAGTCTCAAACTTCAAATCATGAGGGAAGTCGTGCG